GCAGTAACATCTTCTCATTGAGTAGCTTTTGTAAAAGTTACTCTTTAGGGATTTGTGCTCAAGTGTGATGAAGGGCGGAATGGCAGCATATATTTGATAAATAAGATGTGTTTGTTTCCCTGGCACAAAAGGTTGAAAAAGAACACAAAGAAACATTGGTATCAATATGGGCTGAGAAATGTGACATTGGTGCATCCCTAATTAGAATTGGTCACCGCACTGCCTTAAAGCCACTGGAGCCAAAACAAACAGCAGAGTAGTTGACAAGAGTACACACATCTTACCTTCCGTATTCCAGCAGAGTGGAGTGGACTCTGGACTCCTCCTTCTGCAGCTCCCCTGCATCCCTCTGCCGCCTGTACTTCCTCTGAGGTTTGTACACTTCCTGTAAACACCAGGATTTATTAAGGACATTTTAGATTTGATATAACACAAACAGATCAGTATGAAAACGTTTCAGAATACGCCTGTTCCTATTGTTTTTAAGCATACAGAATAACTTTATTATTCTGATGAACCACATGTGCTTTTTGTCTTTGCAGTTGAAGTAGTTACAGAACCAATTGTATGCTATGCTGGTGAAGCCACTTACCAATACTTTCAGAACTGCACTCACAGCCATGTCTTTCCTCTGAAGGAACTCCTCATCCTGGAACACAGAGTTACACAGCACATATTATGATTAAAAGCTATGATTAGGAGGACAATTTATGTAAAACAGCAAAACAACATTATGGTTTACATGTCCTACCAAGGGGGAACATTACTACCACACACCTGCACAATTATGTTCAATTCAAAGTCAGGGTTAATACTCTGGGGCAAATCTGATTTCTGACAGTGACATTTAGCATTATTTAGCAATGTTCCAGTATTTTGATAACTGATCACAGTGGTGATGTTTTCCATTCTCTCTTCTGTCCCACATCTGGATTCCACTCCACCAAGCTCTACAGTAAGTCTGGCTCAGTGACTGATGCTACCTCCGGCAGGCTGTGGCTCTTCTGGAACTGACAGATGGAGTACGCTCTCACAGAGTCGCCCATCTCTTCCCGCGTCTCAATGGCTCGCTTCACCAACCACTGGCAGGAGACACAACACACAGCTGGTCATACTGTACACTTCACCAACACTGAACCATTGATTCTCTGACATTACAGCATGTGAATGCAACATATTTCTGAGCTGATACTGAAGTCCAGAAATAAGTTAGGATATTCACTTAAGATCCAAATCATAAGCCATACCTTAACAGCAGATATCAATTAGTTTAAATTGGGCAGAAAAACTGATAGGACACCTATGTCTAATGGAGGAATACACAGTTTGAAGACAAATGCTATCATTGTTACGATTTTAAATGCTCTTAACACATGTCAATGTAATGCTTAACATTACCATATGAAGATTTGGTATCTCAGTTTAGGATGAATTCTCTCACCTGTATCACTGGAAAGATGTGGATAAAATCCAGTCCTTGGATTTGATGTGGCTCCAGGCAATGAGGACACTTCATCTTTGGTAGCACCGACACAATTTTCTCCGTCAGGGATCTGCCAAGAGGAAGAAGCACTTATCAGTCGCTCTTTTCTTTGCATTGCCTGATTCTGATCTGAGTGTGTGTTCATTGTTAATAATCATAGGACATTCTTTTAAAAGCTTACAAATTAGGTTATTTCTTGCTACATGCTATACTGCTGCTAACATGTAATAATGATGACCAGGTTGGCAACAGATCTGTACACACTGCGACCACTGTGATTCTGCAGGCTCACTTCATGTCACACTGGGACATGTTATATGTTGGTCACTGTCTCTGATAGACTGGACAATATCACGTTTCAATCGTGTCAGCTTGTGTGATGAATGTCTGTCTGCACTATCATTGAAATGGAAAACAAATGCAAGCAGAAATAAATATTCAATGTATGTCATTTCTTAAGTGAACTATTTAACTCTATTCTATTTTTATTAAGATGTTGTTTAAATTGCAAGGAGCCCAGAATATTCAGCTTGAAATTGGTTTAGTGGCCGTTGGTTGTATGCATAGTCGGATTGTAAGAATGGAGTTCTACTTTTCTGTCATAACCTTTGATATAAGCCCTTCTTTGGTGGCTTTAGCTTTAAATGTCGGACCAGCCACATTGTTTCAGTTGGACAGCCGACCACTTCTCTCCAAACAGTCAATGTTCATCTCGGACCGTTTATTCACACAGTGTATGGGGGCCTCCGGGGACAATTCACCAGCTCAAACCCCACTTACATTTTCTGGCCAATTGTTGAGTTTTCTTGGAAAAGAAGATCCACATCAATGTCAAAGTTACAAGTGGTGATGCACCAGGTCATACCACCTACCACCTGAAGAGGGGACAGGAGGACAGGTTGAGTGGGAGCTTTACTGTTGGAATAAATCAATAGCAGCCCTGTCTACTGAGTAAACTCAAACATTAATAGATACTTCAGTTCACAATTTATAATAATAATAATAATAATAATAATAATACATTTAGCCCTTTTCCGAATACCCAAAGCGCTTTACATTACAAATGACACATATCAGACAGTGGACACTGTGTGGACAATCCCCACAGGAGCAAATTGGGGTGAATAGTCTTGCCCAAGGACACAACGGCTTGTCCGAGTGGCGTTTTTATCATCTGGAAAAGCAAAAGTGAGTGTTAATGTTGCCATCACATGACAGGGAGAGAGCAGGTCCTGGTACCTTATCGAAAGGGGACAAGCCTTTAATCCGTGCCCGGAAGTATCCAGCTGCCAGCAGGAGCTCCAGGATCTCCGCCAGCTTGATGCTCTGCTCCTCATCCTCTCTGGTTTCCACCTGGGGCCACACACACATCATTTACCTCTGTAAGAAACAAACTCCATGTGGGCTGCTGGAGTGCTCTGGAGCAACACTGCACACAGCTGCAGAGGGTCTGTTCTTCCACTCAGATAACGGTCAACATTAACGTCCATGGAAAGAGCCAAATGTCTGCCAACTTAAAGAGGCCATTCCTTTATTTGGCTCTCTTAATTATGAAATAAAGCAAAGGTTTCCTATTGACACCGTTAAACTGTAAACGAGCATTCAAACTCCATCCAGCTGTTAAAGCTAACTCAAGTTAGCTCACAAGCAAGCCTCCGAGTTTTCCCGCTATTAGGTTGGAGTAAGGGTTGCAGTGAAAGCACCGTAGGTGTTAAAGATTGATGTAAACGCTGCTCACCTGAATCAGGTTTCCTTCTTGGTCATATTGGGCACCTATTTTAGAGCCAGTTCTGACTCTGTGGAAAACCGACGAAACCGCCGCCATGATGAACTGACGTGTTGACAGGTCACATGACCGGAACATGTGACAGTCAAATGTTGATTGTTGAATGCAACTAAACACAAGAAATAACAACGAACACTAGCTATTTATTTGAAGCCGCAGGCAGGCTGTGTTTCGAACACGCGACAATGTCACGAGGAGCGCAGACCATGGGTGTGTAAAAAGAACGGCACAGACACCACAACGTGCACGCGCATTTTCAGCCAACAGAGGGAGCACCAAGATTACAATGAAACAGTTACAGAGGAAAGATCTAGAAATGAAGTCATTTGGAAATAACGTTTGAGGCATTCGTACATGGATGTATAATAAGAACATTCGTACTACATTTTTACACGGGTTTTAATTTTGCAACAACCAATCCTCTCAGATTGCTCCTTGCCAACGTGGTCCACTTACACTCAGAGGATGATCTGCTAACACTGATACACAGATCGAGACATCAACTGTTATAATCATATTCAAATAATCATAATAATAATAATATTCATAATGTTCATAATAATCATAATAATAATAATAGTAATCATCATACAATAATAATAATAATAACAATCATAATAACAATAATCATAATAATAACAATAATGGTAATAGTTATCATATTATAAAAATAATATCATTATATTAATCATAATTATGCTATGTGCAGTTGCCAGTTACATTCATTCTGATTTTATAATTATTTAATTGTTCATGATTTCCATCATGTACAGCTTATTTATTTCCTTGATTTTACATCACATAATATTGTACAAATGTTTTTAATGTTTAATGAGGTTTAACAAAACTGTGCTTTGATGTGGTAATGCAATAAAGCTACTTTAAATCTGAATTGAATAGGATACGTGCATTGTCTCTTTAAACTGATAGACCTTTAGGAGAAAGAAACAGTATACTGTTATAATAATAATTATTATTATTATTATTATAAGAATAATATGAATAATAAGAATAATCATAATACTTTTTATCATAATAATTATAGCAACAATCATAATAATCGTGTAACGATAATAATAAAAATAATAATAATACTAATAATGTTATGTGCAGCTAGTATGCAGTGTTATCATTAATATTAGTTTTTATTTTCATTACATATGAATATTGGTGATGATTTCCATCTCGTTCTGTTTCTTTCTTTCCTTCCCACATAATATTCTACAAATGTGTTTTAACAAACATGAGCTTTGATGTGCAACGCAAATAAAGTATCTTTACATTTGCATTTAGGTGACAGAGAGAGCGAGAGAGAGAGAAAAGAGAAAAAACACTGCCAGATATTTTGCGACAGTACTGCTCACATTGCGGCCACTAATTACGATAACGGCTCGGTTTACGGCACACGTGTGTACAGACCACTCCACTCCAGCGGTGGTGACTCCAAAATGGCTAAAGTTTCTAAGAAGAAAGTGAGTAGGAAGAGCGTCAGGAGGAGCACCACGGTGACGGAGAAGCTCGCAGAGGTGAAGCCAGATGTGGTGTACGACGATGGCGACGATGAGTTTCTCAGTAAAGAAGACGGAAATATCAGCAGTGAGGAGGAGGAGGAGGACGGCGGCGGCAAGGATGAACGAAAACGCCAAAAGCTGCTCGAAGCCATCAGCGCTCTGGGAGGTAAGAGGCAGAAGAAGCTGGGGGAGAGATCCGAGGCAGCCGTCCTCATGTCGGAGTTTACCGTCAACGCCGAGGGAGAGGGCGATAAGATCGATATCTCGGACCTCATCGGGTCAATGGAGAAAACCTCCGCTGTCCCTGCCAAGACCAAGAAGCAGCTGAAGAACCTGCAGCATACTAACAAGACCATTGAGTGCCCCCTCAGCAAGCAGGAGAGTGAGAGGATTCAAAGAGATGTGGCTTTCCGGAAGGCTTCCACAGAGGTGACCCGGTGGAAAGACATCATCAAACAGAACCAGAGGGCCGAGCAGCTGGTCTTCCCCCTGGACAAGGAGCCCGCGGGTCCTAGGCCAATGGAGAGGATGGTGACCGGGTGGAAGGCACAAACCCCGCTCGAGCAGGAGATATTTGCCCTCCTTTCAGCAAACAAGCAGCCCATCAATGACCCCATCCTGACCCCTGCAGAGGAGGCTTCAATGAGGGCCATGAGCCTGGAGGAGGCCAAGATACGACGCGCAGAGCTGCAGAAAGCCCGGGCTCTGCAGTCCTACTACGAGGCAAAGACCCGGAGAGAGAGAAAAATCAAGAGCAAAAAATACCACAAAGTGCAGAACAAGGCAAAGCGTAAAGAGTTCCTGAAGAAGTTTGAGGAGATGGTGAAGACGGACCCCGCCGCTGCCTTGGAGGAGCTGAGTAAGATCGAGCTGGCCAGGATGCAGGAGAGGATGTCTCTGAAGCACCAGAACAGTGGCAAGTGGGCCAAGTCAAAGGTCATCATGGCAAAATATGATGAGGGGGCTCGCAAAGCCATGCAGCAGCAGCTGGAGGTGAACAAGGAGCTGACCCAGAAGCTGGTGACTGTGCTGAATAAAGAGGAAGAGGAGGAGGAGGAGGAGGAAGCAGTGGATGAAGAGGTGCTGCCTGATTTTGTAAATGATGCAGAGCAAGGACTACATTCTTCCAATCCCTGGATGAGAGGAAAGCTGTCTGAGGGCCCTGCTGAAAAAGAGTTAAGTGAAAATATGGATCTAATAACCGAGGGGCCTGGAGCTGTGGAAAATCCAGCTGAGGAGGATGAGGAAGAGGAAACAGAAGAGGAAACCCTCCTCAGGGAGTTTGATAGCAGGAGGAAACGGCGCCAGGCTCACGAGGCTGTCACAGCACCTGTACCTGACCAGGAGGAAGAGGAGGAGCCACAAGTACCTGGCCAGGGGGAAGAGGAGGAGCCACAAGTACCTGACCAGGAGGAAGAGGAGCTGTCAGAGTTCACAAGCCTTTTCCGGGGAATAGCAGACAGCAGTCGAGAAGCTGAGATGCCCGAGGGAGCTGCAGACTCCTGCCACACGAACCCTTCAGCCCAGCTGGAGGAAGGGCTGGTGAGGGTCAGGACTCTGGAGGAAATGGAGCTCCTCAGTCAGCAGGAGCCGGCCCCTGCTGAGCCGGCCCCTGCTACAGAACAGCTGCCCTCTGTAACTCCACAGGCTGGCACAACCAGAAAAAGAAAGCGGGGAATCGAACTGAAAGAAGTTCTCACCAAAGAAACAAAAGTCATCAAAGTTCCTCTCGCCCCAACCATGGAGGACACAGAGGACTCGGAGGACAAGCTTGACCAACGGGGGCTCATTAAAGAGGCCTTTGCCGGAGATGACGTGGTCTCAGACTTCCTTAAGGACAAGAGGAAGCAGGAGGAGGCAGCGAAGCCGCAGGTCGTGGACCTGACTCTTCCTGGTTGGGGCGAGTGGGGAGGGACAAACCTAAAGCCTTCCCGCAACAAACGGAGGAGGTTCAGGATTAAGACAGCCCCCCCCCCTCCAAGGAGAGACCAATGTCTCCCCAGCATCATCATGTCAGAGAAGAGAAACGGCTCCATCAGCCTCCATCAGGTGAACTCGCTGCCCTTTCCCTTCCAGAACCACGCGCAGTTTGAGAGCACCATCCGCGCTCCGCTGGGTCGCACCTGGAACACAGAGCAGACTGTCAGAAAGATCAACAAGCCCAAGGTGGTCACCCAGCTGGGCGCCATCATCGAACCCATGTCCCGTGAGGAGCTAATGAAGGACAAGAAGCAGGTGTCTACCGGGAGCACAAGTCATGTGGACTCATGGAAGAGAAAACGTTAGCAACAGTTCTCACTAGGTAAAAGTCAATGTAAAGCAAGCAGCCAGCACAGCAGGTTGTCATGGCAGCTCCACTACTCAGACTCCCTCTCTTCATAAGCTTTTCATGTTGTACATCTGAGATTTCGATATGTCAAATCAATGCTGAAAGTCAACTGAGAAGGGTAAATATGTAAACCACATTGTGTCATAAGATGAGTTGTGTTATGAACAGCTGATGATTTAGTAAAGCACCTTCCTCCTGCCTGATGCTGGCACATTTCACTGTATCGTGTTGTCTAAATGTGGTAAATGGACTCAAACTCTATCTGCTTCCTGTAATTTCTTTTAGCATAAGTTCTCGTTTTTAAAATGAATGAATTGTGGTAGTTCCCAGCTGATGATGTATAAATACAATAATGGTATTAACAGCCATAATTAATATCATGTCATAAACTATAATGAAAGCTTGAAAATGCTATATTAGGTATTATTAGGTAATATATAGGTCTATGTATGATCTTTTGTAAGTATTATTACTGATATTTTTCTGTGTACTGATACCTGAACACATTTCACCTACTTTATTAGTTCCATTAATGGTAGGAATATATATTGAGTTCTAAAAGATGTCTAGCCTATTGTACATGTCTGATAGCTGGATCTGTAATAACTAAGTGTAGCTGTAAGATAAAGAGTGGAGTAGGAAGTAGCCTACAATATGTTCCTCTGAGATGAAGTAGGTTGGAAACATACAGCAGATGAACTGCTCAAAGTACATACTTTATTATCAAGTAGTGTATTTATGACAGACACTGTTCAAATGAATTGTTGGGTTTAGCTAATATACCACCATGAACATAAGAGGAATATCCAGTAAGACCTGTCACTGTGATCACACAGCAGCACTGACCTGTGATCAGTCAAGAGGAGTAGAACATCAGTCGGGACTGATCCTAAACAGCAGCAATATTACAACTGGATCTGTTTATAACTACAAACTAGAATGTGTTCATGGTTTATTATTGACTCATTCTATAATCTGATATTAACTCATTTCAATATGGCTGTGTCTTTTTTGTCCCAAATAAATAACTTTTGTCCAAAATAACAACTCTTGTACAGATATAAGGCCTCAGTTCAAAGACCCAATGGTGTGACCCCTCTCTTCCTTTGGACCCTCACCTCTTTAGGTAACACTGAAGGCATCAGTGCTGACTCATTCTGTTTGCTGAGACTAAAGAGTGCATAGACAGCCATGTGTCATGTCCCCAAAGTAAGGTTTGACAAAAGCATCTGCTTTCCCTGGTGTTGATACCAACTGGCACTAACACAATTCACTTTACAGACCTAATACTCAGCTATATTCATATGTATTTCAATGAATCAATTCCATTGAAGTCAACTTCTTCTGTCCATCAAAAGAAAATAGTTTGTCACAAACAATTTGACTTTTTTCAAGACATTGTGTACAAGGTTAGTACGGTGGTTTGCCTTGTCTTGATATTGTCATAGTAACATATGTCCTGGTTCCTGGCAGTGGACTAAACGCCCTCATGTTGGAGGTAAACGGCATTATCTATCATTTCTGACATACATTCACCAAACAAGTCAATTCATTGATTATTTTTTAATGATTAACTAATAACTCAAAACTAAATATGTTTAATGAAACAATAAAACCCTGGCATCCTTTGCTATTGTGTTGCCCTAAGGGTTGGATTCACATCGCTGTGTAGTGCTTTCAAGCTTGTCACTTTACATGGTGTTTATTCCTTCCGTCAATTTAAGCAGAGGAGTTTTAAAGTCGGGCATGGTTATTTCACAGGATGCTGGATCACATGTTTCACTGACACCATTCTGAAGGTTGTAAACTGGGGCCGGCCGTTAGGAGTGGAACAGCAACATTTTACAATGTGCTTTATATATAGATATACAATGCATGTATAAGGCAGCAGTGTCTAGAAGGAAAGCATTTACAGTTGGGTTAAACCTTCACACATGGGTGAGAGTGCATGCTTTGGCACCTGACATCTCTGTATTTCATGTGATAGACACTCTATTAAAGCAGGGGAATCCCGTAATGGACTATGCATCAGTTCAGGTAATGGTTGTCAGCTTGAGTGCCCGAGAGGCATTGGAGAATTCCATTAGAAACCTATAGTTACTAAATCAGTCATTCTCTATCGAACCTCCTCTTAGGGGCAATTACTACAGCTTCATACAGCTTTCAACAAAGAAAAGAGACCTAGTCCTTGGACTGGCTGCTGCTGCTGCCCACTGGACTGCATCGAGAGCAGACAGTGATTCTCGCTCAGATATGTGAAGGCTGCTGTGGCTGTAAATCAGAGAGCTGGAGTGTGGGCCTACAACCTCCATGATGGAACACGTGTTTCCCCATAAAGCCCATGTTGTATTGTATCTGTTTAAATATTTATTCTAGGATGAAGGGGCATGTATATGCCTTATTGGTTGGCTGCAAAACTGTATGAGATGAGACAGAAGCATGGGTTACCTAACTATTTAAAAGCATGCAGTAATTCCTAACTGATTGAAGTATTATAAAGTGCCGTTAAATGCACATAACAGTAGATTTGGCAGTCTTATTTGTCACTAAAGTCCACTTGACTTGCAAGTCTGTTTGCGATACAATCTGATGGAAGAGGACTATTACCCACATCCCCCTGTAATCCAAGGCCCGACTCCATGCGTACCCTGACAGGTGTAAGATTAACTTAGTTAGGTGCAGAGGCGCTCATGCACACCAAATTAAATGAATGGAACAAATCCCCCTCCTAATTAAGATGAAAACACGTGTCAGTTGTAACCTTGCTGAGCACTAATTATGTACAAATGATTTATCATCTGCTTAGTCCTGAATAGCAATGGACTCACCTCTCTGATAGCCCCGCTGGCTGTTAAGAGATGGCCCATGATCAACAGTGACAGGTTGTGCTGCGGAGAATCTGCACGTCCACCGGGCCAGCCAATCAGAGCCGGCCTGAGCTCAGACTCTCCTCCCTTCCATTAACCTACATTGAGTGTGCAGCTGAGCATCACTGTGTCTTGTCTCTCCTTCTTGTTTCTCTCCCCGAATGAAAATAAAGTACATTCAGTGAGGAAAGGGACCTTGGAGTACCCTAAGTATGTGTTAGTCTCCAACATTTTGACGGGCGTGGGGCGTAGTCGGACGTGTCGAGCCTGGTCAGTGATGTTAGGNGGGGGGGGGGGGGGACTGTGTGACTGGTGCAGGCTGAGCGGGGGGAGTTACAACCTGAAACAGAGATTAATCCCACTGAGTTCCATTTGTACATTCTTACGGAGCAATGTGAGGCGGTTTCACAGGCTCTCCAACTATAATAACAAATTAAATAACGCAGAATGCTGTCAGCCTATACGTCAACATGTTATGCACAATAAATGCCCTGGAACAAAAATATTCAGGTAATACTGGTACCAGCCTAAGGCCACCAGGTGGTGCAATAGGCTAAGCCTGCCAAAAGCCCCTCTCTAAATTCCTGAGGGCTAAAATATCAAAACAAGCGGCGCCTCATGATAAATGGACAGTCTAACAGGGATATTCCATCTTATTTCCCCCTGCCTTGCGAGTACAGATACATTTCAACGGGCAGCAGCTCTGATTAGCATTAGAATCAGAGTCCCTTGTGATACTAAGGACACATCAACCAATCTGTAATCATTGTTCCGCAGGCTTGCTCACAGGGGATATAGCCTGCTTTGTCATTACCATTCAATATGCCACACACATGCTGGCAAAGCTTCCATGGTTCTTCCAGCTACAGGGCATTTTCATTTCCTCCTCGAGGTTCCAAGAAATTGCACAGACAATCATGCTCCACAAATGACTCCTCTCTGTTTCCCCTGTCTGTAGATGAGAGATGGTTTTCTTCCATGACTGCTGCAGAAGGCAGAGCAAAGCTTCCTCATTCTACGTCTCACTTCGTCCTTGTGTGATTCTTCTTTTGAAATTGTCCCTGCGTGCGTCCTCAAATGTCATTATGTATATGTGTCAGCTCCGGCCTTTAGGGAACAATTGACTTATTGGGATTTGGGTTTAAGCCGACACCTTTGGTAACAACAATTTGCTTGTTGGATGTTGTGGTAAATGTCAGTACCTGCTAACACACACACACACACACACACACACACACACACACACACACACACACACACACACACACACACACACACAACACACACACAACACACACACACACACACACACACACACACACACACACACACACACACACACACACACAGTCTGTATGTCATTATTGCCCTGAGTCTAATCTTTCTCAGATCTTTTGATGGGTAAATGTGCATAAGTAGGTATATTTAAAAAGATTTCACTCATGTCAGCCTTATAATGCAGATTACTCAGGTCATCCCTAACATGTAAAACATCACTGAATACAAGGGCAGCAGCCATTTTCCTTTGTTGCCCCCCTACCCTTTCTACAGTGTATTCTTCTGCCCGCAGTGAGGGACTCGGGGGCCGAGGTAAGAGAGGCTTGGCAAACAGCATCTCCCACATCATGGCTTTATGGGGATTGGCGGAGGCGGAGGGTTAGGGGTTAATTATAGACGACAGAGAGGTCACAGGGCCTATTCTTTTGGAGCTGGGACCTGCAACGGTCCATTGGGGAGGACATTTATGATGAGGGCCCGGCCCCACCCCTCCGTCACCATCACTCACATTTAAACTGAAGGAGCCGACAGTGGGACTCCGTAGCGTGATAATGAAAAGGCCCTTAGCGCTCGGCACAGGCAGGATGATGAATTGAATCCCTGGCTGATCTCTGGTTGCGTCAGGGGGCCTCCAGTAGCCCTTGACAACTAATCGAAAGCCCCTGTACCCTCCTCTTGCCTACCAGACTTCCTTTATCACTCTCATTATTGGGGTTAAGTGAGTCTCCCATGGGACTATGAGTAGTACAGTGTATGGAACCTGCCAATTCATCTCATTGGATAATTCATTCATTGTAAAGGCATCAATTATTCTCTGTGGAGTCTGATAATAGTAGTAGTCATGTTCACATCGTATAAAAGGCACTGAAGGTCTGCAGTCAGTTTTTATTCCAAACTAAAATGGCTTTTTAAGAAATGACATAAATTAAGGCAGTGAACAATGTTTATTAAAGCATTAAATGATTGTATTCACAAACAATATTGTGTTTATCGAAGCCTGGTATATCTTCCTACTCAATCAATCACTCAATCAATAAATCAATCAATCAATCAATCAATCAATCAATCAATCAATCAATCAATCAATCAATCAATCAATCAAAGCTTATTTATATA